CCCCAAAACCCCAAAACCCCAAAACCCCAAAACCCCAAAACCCCTTAGCCCAAAAATTAGTTGAACCAGTTATAATATTAGATTATGAAAAAGGAAAGAAAGCACAAGGAGAGGAGAATTGGTAAACCTGGCAAATCTGGCAAGATCGCTAAGAGGAAGCAGAGGGATGCATCCGACCATACCTCCATGGTCTCTATATTGCCACCCAAAGAAGAGCAGGTCTATTCACAAATGCTCAATCAAGCAGATTATAAGGTCATAAAGGACGCACAGAGGAAGGAGTTGGAGAATATTAAACAGATTGGGGTCTACGGGAGCTTGAAAGGGTTTAAATCGAAAATTTTGATTACTGTCCCATCTGAGAGGAAGGAAATCAAAGCTGGTTTGATAGAATTTGGCTGTGTAAGTACTTGTTCTGACAAAGATATAGGCAAATAACTCATTTTCTCTCAGAGATACGGAGCAAACCATTCTGATTGTGGACGATTTACTTTTCACTTTAAAAATACCTTCTTCAAATAAGAAAAGAGATACAAAATGGTATACTAAGTGCCATACTTTATCTGAGAGCTTAGACCAAAAGTATCTCAGCATTGTAAAGAAAATAAGAGATAATCCTAAGATTAGAGTTCTTTCCAGAACTGGGTTCAAAAAGTTGGTCAGAGATTACCTCAAACCTTGTCATCCAGATTTTCATCGTTCCAAAGGAGCTAAAATTCCTTCTGGATCAGAACAATTTGCATTCTCGGTGGTTCCAAAGGATATTCCAAAGTTTTCGAAGGCGAGGATCGATAAAAGAATTAGAGACCAAGCTCATACATTTGTATATAAGCCTGAATTAGATGGAACAATTGATTGACACATGGTTGTACCTAGAGCACCTCCAAACGTTCCTGTATTTCTGATTCAAAAGGAAATAAATTACTTAGAGCATCATTATGATGAACTTCAGACTCGCTATGAGAAGAACAGAAGGGACCACGCTAGGCTAGCTCCAGTAAGCGATACGCATCCAATTCCTGAGACTCCTCAGGGTCATAACAATTGTTCTCTGTGAGGTATAAAGTACGATAACTACATCAAGCACATCTTTGGATCAAAGCATCATAGGTCTTACTCTCTTCCTGAAAACCAAAAATTATATGCAGAAATTGATGACATGATTGAAGATATCAGTAGTGACTTCAACAAAGAACTTGACCAAAAATCGCTGCAGAAAACAACCCAAAAGACTAAACCCGCCAAGCAGAACCGTCAGATCAGAGTTGCTGAAATCCAGCAGCTCACTGCTGACCTCGAGATGGCCGAAGAGGCTTCTGGAAATCCTGAGTCTGACTGATCAGATTCTGATCTTGAATTTGATAAGAATTCACTCAACAAGTTGAAATCCTTCCCAGTGGAGATTCCCAAGAAAAGAGTAGTCGATTCCTACGGAGAACTTGATGTTCAAAATTATGAGTATATAGAGTATGTCAAGTACATCGAAGAAACAGATGAGAGCAGTTAGCACTCCCAACACTTTTAGACAAAAATTAGACTAGCATTAATTTATGAACGATTTTAGGAAATTTGAAAATTTGAAATTTTTAGAGATAAAAACGTGCTTAGATGGTCATAAGCTGGATTTTAGGAACGGAATCTGGAGTTTTAAAGGGCTTTTAGACAAGATATTTGTGCGAAGGTGTTAGAGGCTGTGATCTTCATAAAAGACAATATGTAAAATTTGTTTTTTTAGTAAAAATATCGGGAAATACTTTAGTATCATTTGAATCCTAAGTAATCCTAGTTATTATTCTCACTGAACGTTTTATCCATCATGATATTTACATGGATGGGCTAAATTAAGAGATATTTTTAGGATTAATTCTTCGTTATTTTCGTAAATGAGGATTTTATTTTGAGATTCTAGGCTCAAAGTTTAGAATTCTTCCACTTTTAGATAACCCATATACTCATTAGTTTAATTAGAAGACAACACAAACCCATAATGATAACTTACTGATCCAGATATATTATCTAAGATATGCTATGTTTTACTAATAAAGGCATGAATGTCTTTATTCAAAGTCTAAAAAGTCCTGAGAATCATTGTTAAATATTTTAATTTATTCTTCATCTCATTATCAAGTATTTTTCGCATATTTAATAATTTCTATAGAGAAGATACACCTGAGTGAAAGCATTCTAGCCAGACCTCAAGCTGTCAAATAGATATTGAGGCAATGGACCATTCATCCGTTTCACAAGCCAAAGGTAAGTTTTTAGTCAAAACCTGTATGGGGCTTACAAAATTTTAGTTCCAAATCTGATATTTTTAGATAAAGCCAGCCCTGATTGTGGCATAGACCGCTCTGTTGAGGTCCTCTCTAAAACATTGGACAAAGAGGAGCTCAAAACTAGGGAGAGTTTCAAGCCACATACGGCCAAACACAAGAGATCCCGTAGATTTGGCAGTAGTGTGCAGGAGATCGACAAGGATATCTTCGTGCCTAAGATATCTAAAAGAGTAAAGGAGGTCAAAACCGGCATTAGGAAGGACACAAAAGGTAAGAATAGTCATAAGGAATCCCTTAACCTTGAGCTTCATCAAGAGTCCGTTCTTTATCAACTCGCTTTCAAAGTGTTTGTCCGGTTATTCTAAATAGAGCCTGTGTAGATCTAACTTCTTTAATATAGATTCAAGCGCTGAAAAGTGTGTGGTTCTTATCAAAGTAGGATCTGAGACTCATAAAGGTCAGAATAATACAAACGGACAAAACGAGAGGAACATCCCTATGATATCTAACATTCCATGATCAAAACTGCTGTATAAGATAAAGCATGAGGAATCTCAGGAGTCAGATCTCATCATCAAGGAACATAAATTCGCTGGTCACAAAGCCAAGGAATTCAGAAATAAATTTGCCTCCAAAAAGAGACGGAACCCTATGCGTGCTTGTCGGGAACAAAAGAGACAGAAACTCTCAGAAGTTGACTCTTCAGTACAAGCTATGTCAGAAGGAGAGAATTCTGACTTAGATGTCTCTGAGCCATATAAAGTCTCTATTTGAGATAGTGGAAGCTTGGAAGAAGCAGGCGCGTTTAGATTTGAAAATGATTTTAGAGGTAAGTGAGTGGAAAGAAGGAGGTTTAGTGGGTTCATGCTTGGATTGGGATAATTGAGGTGTATAGAGGCCAGGAAGAATGGAATTGATAAGAAATTGAATAGAAGAAGGAAATAGGGAAAAATTTATACCAGACTGGTGTAAAGGAAAGTAAATTGTGCAGATATTTGGTGTTAGATAAAGAATTCACAAATATTTTTGAGAGAGGTTTGAAATCTTGGGTTTTAGATTTTTGAGAGAGTTGTTTGAGTTCAGTTTGCTAGAGTTTAGAATGGATTTTTGTCAATTTTTGATTCTTTTGAAGGGGTTTTGGGGTTTTGGGGTTTTGGGGTTTTGGGGTTTTGGGG